TTTAAAGGGCAGGGCTTTACTCCACATGTCAGGTTATTTATTAGAAATGCACACGATTCCTATCGCATAAAGTAGCGTATTTTTTTTCTTTTCAGAGAGCTGAATAAATAAATATATAGATCGATATTTGTGTTTATGTATTTATCGACTACATTCTGCACGTTAACTCGCAACCCTTGTTGAGCAAAATATGTAAAGTGCTATTTTAAGCTTGCCTTTAATATTACGTAGACTTATAGATGGTAGGTTATTTATTTTGCTAATGTTTCATTCTCACTTTTTGTCTGAGCAAAACAATCTGCACTGAGCTGCAGACGTAGTCCGAGTGACTTGAACCCGCCGAAGGAGAACCAACTGTCCTGTTAAACCAGCAACCTTCATACATAGCTGCATTGTGGGATACGCCGAACGGTGTCCGCTGGCAAGCAAGAGAACTTTTCTTGTAGCAAGTACCGAAGATTTCTGGGAAGTTAGAGCCACACAAGACTTTACCGCCTCAAGTAGTTTTGGGTTTCTTTCTACCAGCATTTGGAACTGTTAAAGGCCTTTCCCATTTCCTGTTACTCTCAGGAGGTCCCGCTGAACAAAACACACACACACAACAATATGAGGACTAGTGATGGGGTCGCTCTCTCAACAGGATCTTGAAGCCCAGAACAAATGCTATTCTGTAAACTCCTGGACACTTTTGTTTTTTTGTTTTGTCTTTGTACTTTGCCATTGTGACTACTTCTGTCCAATCAGCAGTCTTCTTTAGCTTCGTCTCTGAAGCTGAGTGGCTCTAGACGGTTTCTTCATTCAATCTTTGGTGTTATGGAGACTTGTGGATGGAAAGCAGCACTGTAGGTAAAAATCTAAGTATTCATCCCACTCCTGTCAGCCTCCTGGTTTTGTTTTCATAGCTCCTCTGTATATATCAGAGCGGAAGAAGGTACCTTACACATCACAATATCTCTGTACCAGTTCATCATTTTATTCATGTCAAATTAGTCACATCTTCTGTAGAGGTGATGGTAACACATAATATGATTCATATGTGACGGTATCAGTAAAAACCAGAACATTATTCATTTCTAAATTCCCATATGGATGCCAAATCATTAAAGACGTTCGTATAATTCAATCTGTTCAAACTTTCTTTGATGGAAGCTCACAATCTCTAAATATTGTTTGATTCTCTGGTTTGCATCATGGTGGTGTAGATAGATCTACTTTTAAAGGCAGATTATGAGACGATTAGCAAACATTTAATCTGATTTATCATTTTGAATCGCATCAACGTTTTAAGTATTTTAAAATTGTGTTTTTTACATGCTGTTTTTCTGCCAATCTGCCAATCTCACCGCTACTCTAATTAAGATGTACAGCACAAAATTTGACCATTTATCTGGATATTCATAAGAAAGTGTGCCTCACATTCCATACTTTCAAAATCTCTTTTTTTTTCTTTATTGTTTTTAATTATCCTAGGCCATTCCATCAATGCACTTTACATGCACACATTTCAATGCATTTGGTAAGATGTAGATATTATAAAACACTTAAATATCGCAATGAATGGTCATGTTTGCGTACAGAGATTTATCTTTAAATCCTGAGAAAAATTTCAATTACAATTTAAAAATGTAAAATCTTTTCTCTGTTCATGTAGATGTTTTTGCTTCATAAAGAATCTTTAAGGATATTTGCAAGTTTTATTTTGTGCATAATTACAAAAACTGCTGAATCAGAAGACACATTTCATGCACACTAAATATATTTGCATTTTAATTGTTTCTGTAAGGCCAAAAGTATAAGTCGGACCAAAAAATGGGACTTTACACTTTCTTATTTTCCTCTGAAATGGTAAATTATTATATTGTAACCATGCCAATCATCACAGATTTGACATGTTTAGAATATTTTACTTTCCAGCCCGTCAAAATGAGTCTCTGCTATCTTTCACATACACGTCTTGCTTCTTTTGTATTTGCACAGGTTTGATTGTGTTGCACCTTTCTCTTTTCCACTAACAGACCAATGTCTGTACATTAAATTAGGAACAAAAAATGATTTCTTAATTCTAACTTAAGATGAAATTGTATTACTGTACTGAAAACAAATTGTATTTGCAGCTGAATGTTTGTCCTTGGTAAACACATATGAAATGACTATTAGATATTGATATTTTTTCTATGTGATTTTACGTACTTGGGAATTTGGGAAAATATAAGTGTCCCTTTACTGTACAATGAAGTAGTTACAAAATCTAACTGGTCTTGCATTTTTGCAAAATGAAAAGAGTGAATGCATGAATATTAGTACTGTACTGCTCTATTTTTTCAGGTGTAGTGGATGGATGTAGTTTGTTGCAGTCCATAGCTAAAGCAAATGCAACATTGACAAAAAAACAAATCTAGATTTGCCGCTTCCAGATTTCTGTGGTTTGGATGCGTTTTGATATTTTAACATGGAATGAGAACGATCAGATCTGTTTTGTTCTGACAGTAATCAGAACCAGCTGTCAAATGCTTCTGTGATGTGCTGAAAATCTGTACAAATCTTTGAGTATAATATTGTAACTTCTGAATAAGATTGGCTGAAAAAGCCCGAAAAAGTGGCTGGCATCTGGTTCGTTTAAATGCTCGTTGTTGAACTACTTCATGCTTTTATATGCGAGACCACTTCATGCTTTTTAGTTTATACATGGTGAAGTCAGAAGAGTCTTTTTTTTTTTTGGCAGTTTTATGGCATGCGCAGTTTATGTGTGAGTGTAAGTAGGTGACACCAGCCTGACTGGGGAATGATCTTAATACACTGAATACAGATCAATATCAATGTGATGTCATGATGTAAGCTGAATAAACCTGAAAGAGCATTTCTGTGTGGAAACAGTTGGAAGTGGTCAACCTGGTATTCATGCTTACTTTTTTATTTGCATTCAGAAATGGACAGTAGATTGTAAAACTGAGAATGATGCATGAATTTGATCATTCATTTTATGAGATTTCGCTTCGTCAGGTACTGTATGATGTATATAAATTATAGAAATGTTGAGAGATTGCTTTAATTTCAAATAGGAATGTAATCCCTTTACGTCTATCTGGGCCATTTAAAGGAATAGTTCACCCAAAATGAAAATTGCACTCAGCCCAGGCCATCCAAGATGTAGATGAGTTTGTTTTTTCATGTGAACAGATTTGGAGAAATTTAGCAACACATCACTTGCTCACCAGTGGATCCTCTGCAGTGAATGTAGATAAAATGATTTCTAATAACACACAGCACTTCACAAGATGTTAACTGTTGATCTGGAGTGGTGTGGATTAATTGTGGATTATTGTGATGTTTTTATCAACTGTTTGGACTCTCATTCTGACGGCACCCATTCACTGCAGAGGATCCATTGGTGTTTGTGATGTAATGCTACATTTCTACAAATCTGATGAAGAAACAAACTCATCTACATCTTTGATGGCCTGAAGGTGAGTACATTTTCATTTGTGGATGAACTGTTCCTTTAAACCCTTGTCAAGTCTTTTTTTTATGAACCCCTAATACTGTTTTTGTTACGTTTGTGAACAAATATAAAGACTTTTATCTTATTTCTGTAAAATGAATTATCTTACAGAGTGGTTTGTTGGATGAAAGGCGATGGCTTGTTTATTACTTGAATGTGCGTATTAAATATTTCATCTTGTTGTACTATAAAACATATTTGTTTTACAGTGTCTGAGTGACAGAACATCTTTACCCGGTATGTGTTGATGTTTAAAGGCTTACATGAGCACAACATCCCTGGTATCTAAATCAATCTGTCTGCTGTCATGTTGATTTGAGCATTCAGTTTTGCTGAAAAACTAAGATTGATATCAGTTGTGCCTATAGGTCAAATGTAACATTCGGTGCATGCCTGTTTTAGTCATTTACATTTACTTCATTGAGATTTGTAAAATGATCTGGAGAAAGTAAGCATTGCATTTTCTTTGCAGCATGTCTGTGTTTATTTTTTCAAAGAGCCACGCGGTGTATTAAATTTAGGTTCTATTTTTTTTGTGATCACACTTAACGAAGACATTGAATAAAAGAAAATATGTATTTTTATTTCATTCATATTATATGATTACAACCTTGAATTTATTGTACTTTTGGGATGGACTTAAAAGACTGTCATTGGCAATTTATTTATTTCACATATGTAAAGACGGTCATTTGTAGTCTGTTTTCTCGTCCATGTAGCAAAGCTGTTAGCAGCTCTTTTGTTGTTGCCATAAATCAGCCATTCATATTATTCATGACATTGTGAACAGCACAAGACACTGTTGGAACATGCTCACCTTCACAGACAGAGGTTTTCAACTTTCACGAGAAACGTAGCTACTTTGAAAACGATGCCCAGTTGCATCCACTATATGTAACCCAATCAAGTCTTGCACTTTGAGAGAGCACGATCAAAGATTTATCAGAGTAAGAGTGGCCCTCAAAATGTTTTGAAAATGATTTGAGCTGACAGTGCGCTGCTGTTTAGGAATAACACAATGGTAAAGAGCTGTATGGGGAAGCTGTAATTTTATACTTGTGCTTTGTAAATGTTTTCTATGTGCAGTATTTGATAATGTAAAACTGGTATTTTTGTGGTTTGTATGCTACAGAACTAATTATTTAAGGTGCACGCGGTTTTGTAAGAAAAGGTTGGGAAACTTTGAAAAAAAAAATCTCATTTTGACTGAAGCCTGTATCTGCATGCATATTGACTGCTGGAAGCTGGAGGTCAATAAATTTTATTTGAATCATCTTGACTTTGTGTCTGAATGGAATAAATTATTGGGTTTTAATTTTATCCTGAACCATAAATGCCTATACTTTAAAACAACAACAACAACATGTAATCTGCTCACCCACACATCGTGATTTATTTGGCAAATAAGCAGTTGTCAGATATTTTCAACAATGCCGAGGAAATCAGTAAGATGTATAGAAATATATACACTAAGAAAAGTATGTGTATGTTAAGTGCCGTTTTACATGTAGGCCCAGGACACAGCATTTGAGGTGAACTGCCTAATGCTCTCAGGTGCTGTACAATAGGACAGTTCAGAGACTGAGTGCATCCTCTTGGAGGGTCCACCGGAGGTACTGCATCCATCATTCATTTGGCCCAAACTGTAAGTAGGAAAAGAAAAGTGTGAAAATGATCCACTGAAATCAGTCTGATTGGGCCAGTCCCATGTTTTCCTCTTGCACGCCAAACCGCGGTCTCCATTTGCGAGGCCCACAAACGAGTTTTCCAGGCTCCTTGTTGCACAAAGTACCGGTCTGTGCCTCACGGGCGCGCTGCTTTCCCGCTGCAAAAGTGACTCTATGGAAAACGGGCTGGTAAACTTCTTTTCTGCCTCAGGGCGTTTGAAGGTCGACTTGTTATCCGTTGCATTCTTCACAGAGGGAATTTCCATGCTTTCACAGAAGTCAGGGAAAACATTGCGCAAACCACTGAAGTGTCGCCTCAGTATCTTTGGAGTGATTTTACTATCATCCACTTTCCAAAAGTTGCGTTTCGCATTTGGACACTCTGGATTTATAGGCACCTGTAAATATGAAGGCAAAACATCATTATAAAAGTAGCTATTAATAACAACACGAAGACGAGGAAGAAGAATTACGTACCTTTACAAAACAGTTGTTTGCTGATAAACAGACTCTGATATTATTTTCAAGGCCTTTTCTGTCGCCATCCACAAATATCGTCACCGCATTCATTAACTGATGGGGGAAACAAAGTTACAGTCAAACCAAAATATTGAAATAGCCTAGACTACATGTTTCTGTAATTGCTTTATTTAAAACATGATGAAATACATTAATGTTAAATAAATGTTTGCATCCAATTAGAAAAAACAGGAAACAATAACTCCGCCAAAAATATAGTAGGCCCTGCCCTGTTGATAAAACCAGTATATGCTGGTTAGGTATGTTTTGATGCTGGGATGCTGGTTTAAGCTGGTCCTTTGCTGGTTTATGCTGGTCATGTGCTGGCAAAGGACCAGTATAAACCAGCAAAATGACCAGCATAAACCAGCAAAGGACCAGCAGAAACCAGCAAAAGGACCAGCATAAACCAGCAAAGGACCAGCATAAACCAGCATAACCAAGCAAATGACCAGCATAAACCAGCAAATGACTAGCATAAACCAGCAAATGACCAGCATAAACCCGCAAAGGACCAGCATAAACCAGCAAAGGACCAGCATAAACCAGCATAACCAAGCAAATGACCAGCATAAACCAGCAAATGACTAGCATAAACCAGCAAATGACCAGCATAAACCCGCAAAGGACCAGCATAAACCAGCAAAGGACCAGCATAAACCAGCATAACCAAGCAAATGACCAGCATAAACCAGCAAATGACTAGCATAAACCAGCAAATGACCAGCATAAACCCGCAAAGGACCAGCATAAACCAGCAAAGGACCAGCATAAACCAGCATAACCAAGCAAATGACCAGCATAAACCAGCAAATGACTAGCATAAACCAGCAAATGACCAGCATAAACCCGCAAAGGACCAGCATAAACCAGCAAAGGACCAGCATAAACCAGCATAACCAAGCAAATGACCAGCATAAACCAGCAAATGACTAGCATAAACCAGCAAATGACCAGCATAAACCCGCAAAGGACCAGCATAAACCAGCAAAGGACCAGCATAAACCAGCAAAGGACCAGCATAAACCAGCAAAGGACCAGCTTAAACCAGCATCCCAGCATCAAAACATACCTAACCAGCATATGCTGTTTTTTCAACAGGGTGACTGAATGCATTAAATGTAAACTTACCTCGTGAAACATTAATTTCTTCTGAGGTGCGTTTTGAATGACATAAGCGATCAGACCCAGGTAGGTCATTTTCTGTTTGGAGTATTTCTTGTATTTTCTCCTGACCAGCATGTCTGGATGCTCTCTCTGCATCTCTGAGAAGAGCTGAAGCGATGGTGAGGGTCTGTTGTGTAGTTTGTGGCCTATATATGAAGCACATCGGCCATTGAGGATGTATGGACGTTCCTCATTAATGTCTCTTTTACATAATTGATGGAGGTGTTAACATGTGGGCGGACATGCCTGGACCACCACAGTCTATTGGCTATAAATGTTTTTAAATTGTAACATGCACAAGTCTGAAATAAATAGTTTGAAGATACGAATAAATATATGTGAAAATAAACTCAATTTAATCTCAAACAAACACACACGTTTACTAAATAATTACATTGTATCATGTAATCGTTTCAATATTATTTGACAAAGGAAACAAACAAATGATTAATTTATTAAACAATCATGTTATATGTAGCCCAATCATTTGTAGTTGAAATAAATAAATAGGTGGGTAAAAATAAACCAGATCATAACCACAATATTTTACTATCATCTACTTTCCAAAAATTGCATTGTGCATTTGTTCACTCTGGATTTAGGCACCTGTAAATATGAAGGAGACATTCTTATTAAAAAGCCAGGAAGAAGAAGAATACAAATATACATTTACACAACAGATGTTTGATATGATAAAGATGATAAACAGACTCTGATATTATTTCCAAGGCCTATTTTTATCCCCATCCACAAATATCCTCAATGCATTACTGAACTGATTGGGAAAAAACAAGTCACAAGAAAACTAAAACATACATGTTTCTGATTTGCTTCATTTAATAATGCAACTCATGTGTTAAATATTTTATAAATATTTATTATTTTATTAAACAATGACATTCTAATTTTTTAGTTTCAATAAATAAATAAATAGCTGGTAAACCTATGTATAAATGGTATGTGATGCTTTAGTGGTGTAGAGTAATTTCTATTATATTATTTGAGTTTATAGGATTTCTCTAAATGTACCTGTATGTTTTCACACAGTTCTTTTTTCCTGTTCCAGAATGTATACATATAGCACATTTCTAAAACACAAGGTGTTTTTACAAGCAGAAATATTTATGTATACCAAAAGTTGCTTTGTGGCTTAATCACAGAGCAATACGAGAAGCGTTTTCACTAGTTAACAGAAAAATAAACCAATTGATTCAATCTGGTTCAAAACTGTGAGTTTCCAACATTCAAGTGTTTATAGTCATTAGATATGAGTTCACACGAGGCATTCATGTGTAAATGCGACACTTCATACAGTAAGTGCTAACGAGTCAGTTTAACAGACTAGTTCACAACCTCTTTAAGTGATCATCACATTTAACTAAGTTAATATGGGCAAAACAAATCAACAGATAATACAGTAAATATGCTTTTAATTTTGTTATTAAAGCTAGTGTTTGCTTAATATGGCCAGGTATCTTCTTAGGGAGAAGATTTTGATATTTCAATTTAAAAACGTTACATCCGTGGGTTTTGGGCGTATTGCATATATCCATATCAGCAGCAGCATGGATCCCAACTGTTAAAGGTCTTTCCTGTTTCACAAACAAACAATACAGAGAGAGAGAGAAAGAGAGAGAAAAGAAGGTTAATTGGGGTTCTTTGCTCAGAACCACATTTTCCGAAGAACCTTTTATGTCAAATAGGTACTTTATGAAAAAGAAGCACACAGCTCTTTGGGCTAAAACAGCAGTATAAATAGTATTTATTTAAAATAGCTTTAACACTATTGCTTTGTCCTTTAATCTCAAACAGAAATTAAACCATTGCAATGTACTTCTACAGTTGAGTTTGACAGCTTTATTAGAAAATGATGATGGTTCAGCAGCACATAATGTTACGTCTGACCACTGCTCTTGTGGTTACAGTGTCTCTTTAAGTTGACAAGTGGATCTAATTAGTAATAGTTTACAGTTTGCAAGTCAATCTGCAGTGCTAAAAGTACTGCATAAAACGCATAATTGCACGTTTGTTTGTCCCCCCCCCCCCCCCCAAAATCACACTGAACTGATATCATACAGCTTTTTGATGAGCAATGTTTTCATCGTCTCACACAGAGCTATAAAAGGTTTTCATATAGTTTGATACAGCCTGCCCTTGGCTTATGGAGGTGTTAACATGTGGGCGGGCATCACAGTCCCATTGGCTTTATATATTTAATATTGTAATTTACAAGTTTGATATGCTATAATTTGAAGATGGAGAATAAATGTAAGAGTAGGCCTAAACATAAAATAAATAAATCCAAATAAATGTTTATTAAACAATTATTAATATCATTGAAATAAACCAATAAATCCATATTGTATTAAATTGTTGTATTTATATGTACTATTTTTTTTATATTACATAAATAAATAAAAAAGAGGTCCATACATTGATAAAAAAAAATGTCTAAACTCAAGGCTTAAACAATGAGAGTTCTTTCTTGGCAAACAAAGCAGACCAGTTTGATTCAATCTGGATCAAAACTGTGAATTCCCAGCATTCCTGTGGTTTTAGTCATGAGCAGAGGCGGACAGTAACTACAAGTTCAAGTACAAATACAAATATATTTACTTGAGTATTGTACTTAAGTACACTTTTTGAGTAGCAGTACTTTACTGGAGTATAACTTTTTCTGGAAACTTATGACATTAACTTCACTACATTTGAAAGACAAATATTGTACTTTTCACTCCACTACATTTCTATCAAGGTCCTTGAAGTAGAAAGTCGTTAGCAGCTTTGAAAGTCAGTGGGTGTCTTTTTTTCAGACAGTTGATCAGTAATCACTCTTGTAGGGCTACATGAAGTGATTTCCCAGCATTTTTTGAACACTGACCAGCTGCAAATGTGATATTTATTTACAACAATTCAATAAGAAGAATTTAATATTGAGGAATATATAATTAGACACAATATTGTCTGATTTTGCTAAATTGTGTAGGTGAAAATATTACCTATAAAGCCACAGAAGAACTGTTGTGCGTCTCCTAATAAAACACAAGTACAGCGAGAGCGATTAGACAGCATTTTAAAAGATAAGGCATCTGATAAAACCACTAGCATTATAAACGCATTAATATTTAGAAATGTCAAACAATGATTCGTGTGACAAAGATTTGAAATCCCGCTTTAGATGTTACCCTGGCCCTCTTTGGCACTGTCATCATGTGGCGGGTCATGAAGCAGAATGAGATTGTGGGAGGAGCAAATAATCGAGAAGGTGCTAGGCAGTTTGATTCATTTTACGGAATCGATTCATTTGAACACTTTTTGATTAATTCATTTTAAGTCCGATACAACAACAGAATCAAGTAGAACACGTTGAGACATGTTAGGAAAGGGGAATTCACACAAGTTTTTTTGAATGTTTTCATATTAAGTTCAGGTGATTCCTCTTTGTCATATTTTAGCTATGTGACACCATTTAGGCAATGGCTTAGTGTTTACATTTCACTGTGTTTTCTGTTAATTGGAGCACGATACATAACAATCCAATAATAAGAAAAGTTTATTAAAGGTTAGTAAAATAAAATATTATAAAATGTTTATTTTTATTTGCACTATTGTCTCACACAATATAAAGTGTAGCCTATAAATTCACTATAGACTTAATAAAATAGGCTACTGCACCTGACAGCCAATTCAAATTCTGTCAAAAAAATTGTTTGTTTTCTCCAAAATAATTATGAATACAATTGCAAACTTTATTGTCAAGACATTGGATATTCGTTCAAGGATAAATCGATAGACTAGCTACACCAACATAAAACTCAAGTGGCACAGTAAGTAGCCTAATATGTATCTTGTAACATTTTTTAGCTATTATTAAGAGTAGCTATTTTCGCCCAATTTTATGCAACACATCTTACAATAAAAGTTTAAGTCACACTGGTTCGTTCATGCATTTGATGAATCAAACGTTATCAAGGTTTAGGGGAACTCAAGCAAATTGAATCATTTGGATTTTCGAATCGGTTCGTTTGATTCATGGAAAAGAACCTGTCGAACAGAACGATTCGCTCGCGAACTAGACATCACTACGATCGCATGGCGAGGCTTGAGTCACTCAGGCACGCTGTAGATTATTTGCGGGAACCTTTCGGTAAGTAAAATGAAGGCGCAGTCTTTTGCGATCTATTTTAATAAAGCCTTATTAGATAGCCAACACTGATGAAAAATAGACTTGGTAAAGGACCAGAGAGCCGTGTATGATGAGCATTTAAGCGGATTGTGTGGCTGAGGGTGTTGCCCAAACCGGCTTCTGTCGGAAATCATGGTTGGCATTGTTATCAGTCTAGTTTTCGGTTATTTTACTTGAATTAGAGTAGATGTAAAGTATGATTTGCGTAAATATCTGTCTGTGTTTTGAACGTGTTTAACGTGGCATTTTGTGGTATATGTTGTCCGGGGGGACCGGGATAAACCAAATGTTACAGGATTTTTACTAAAATAACAAACACTATACACTGTTTTCCTATTAAACGAGGTTAAATTATGATGTATTATCAGTTTATAGGCCAGTTCCACGGTTTAGGGCGACATCTTGTCATTTTCTGTCCATGTCTCTGTTTCGTTAAATCTCTAGATGGGAAGCTACAGTTTAAAGTACATGTGAGGAAAAAAAAATGTACCAAAACTGAAAAGAATTGTTCATATACATTTTTTTTTTCATCATAATAAATCTGATGTATTTTAGCATAATTGTAAATGGAATAATCTTGAAGAATAACGTATTTTTATCCTTAGCAGCATCTGGTTAGGAACCTGTGTATTTCAGCCAAGTCACCCACATCATAGATTCATATTTTAGGATTTGTGCCGGTTACATAAGTCTCTTTTACTTTAGAGTGACAAGCTAATTCCTTATTTTATTGAGTGATGACATTTTTTTGGTATGCATTGCCAGTGTGTTTGTGTTGGGTCAAGCTGACATGATTGATGGGTAAAGTAAAGACACCCTTCAGGTCATTCACAATTCAGATTGCTAGACATACTTCATTTACAGAGGTCATCTTACACATTTAACGTCTATGGTTGCATTTTTAGAATGGGAATATGTGTCATTTCAATTCGG